CCGACCAATCAGGTTGTGAACGTATCACTATGCCTTTAGGTTCGCTGTCTTTAGGTTCGCTGTCAAAAATGGCAATGTTAACGCTAAGCAGACTGGGACCAAATGTATCATTTTCCTTTTTGGTCCGGACCAAATGAACCAAATGAACCGAACTACAAGTGTGAACACACCCTAAATGTGTTGGCGTAGTGAACCATTTTTTGAAAGGAAATTGTTTGTCAGAATAAAAATGCATGTTTGAGCATGATTTTTTTTTTTGTATATTAAAATTGGGTGTTATTGTTTTTAATTAGTGTGGGCTTCTTTCTTCCTTAAAGAAAGACTAGAGATCTTTTTTCCATTTTATGTATTCATGGCACTGCTTTTGTTTCATTTTTCTTTTCGTTCCAGGTGGTTGCACCTGTCAGAGAGACGTGTGCCCAGACTCTGGGTGTGGCCTTGAGGCACATGGCAGACAGTGGCGTTGCCATGACTGTGGACATTCTGCTTAAGCTGCTAACTGAAGACCAGTGGGAGGTTCGACACGGAGGCCTGCTGGGCATCAAATACGCTCTTGCTGTCAGACAGGTGGAAAAGACTCAAATTCTTATTGGCTGAGTTTGAAAGTGACGAACTTGTGATTGACATTCACACCTTGCTGACCCTCAGGATTTGATCGCAGAGCTGCTGCCCCAGGTTCTTCCTGCCATTACAGAAGGCCTGCGGGATCTGGATGATGACGTTCGTGCAGTGGCAGCAGCAGCTTTGATCCCAGTGGTGGATGGATTGGTTCAGTTACTGCCTACTAAGGTCTGAGTTCAAAGTTCACTCGAATTTGATGGCTAGTGCAGGTATAATAGCCAGTGTGGATATATAGAGAGCATGTCTTATCTACAGATGCTGATAATCTTAAAATAGTCTAATATTGGCCAGTTGGTCTGTCACTGCCAGTATCTGTGCCTACGGCACTCTGCATACCGGAGGTCTAGAGCACTTCTACCTATTACGTAGTCACCATGGACCTACGATAGTCCAAAGGTGTTTATAAGCTAAAGCAAACTTTTCTGGAAAGTTTGCTTTGGCAAGTTGTTTTGAACTTCTGAAACTCCAAACAAATTTCATTTTGGCATGATTTGATTTGAAATGGCATCACACAATTTAGTTCTTTGATTTTTGTTTGAATTATATTGGGGTCTTTACATCTAGCACTTATTTGCAGCAATTGCTCTAGGTTAATACCTCCATATCTATAAACTGCATGTATGCTTTATAGGTTCCCTTTATTGTGGACACACTGTGGAATGCCCTGCTGGAACTGGACGATCTCACAGCCTCAACTAACAGCATCATGACCCTCTTGTCCTCCCTGCTTGCTTACCCACAGGTCCGCCAGTGCAGGTGAGATTTCTCTATTGAAATATGAAAGGAGCTCTCGTGTTCATTGCCATTAATACCACATTTCCTGACAATGATAAAAGGGAAACCAAACTCCTGTTTTTCCTTTCCCAGCACACAACAGTCTCTCACAGTGTTGGTTCCTCGAGTATGGCCATTCCTGAGACACACAATTGCTTCTGTTCGTCGGGCTGCCCTAGAGACCCTTTTTACATTGCTTTCCAAAGCTGACCAGGTTGGATAATCTGTGTGAAGTCAAATACACATGAAGGATTGATATTTTCAGTTTTGAAGTATTTCTTCTTTCCTGTTTTCTGCTCTGATTTATACTTTTCCCTCCAGAGTTGTGCAGTGTGGCTGAATCCCATCATGCAGGATATGTTAAGACACATCTTTCAGTCCTGCATACTGGAGAGCAACCAGGAGATCCTAGAGCTGATACAGAAGGCATGACTTTCTCTGTTCCACTCTTTGAATGTTTTGTCTGATTGATATGTTAATTAGCTTATTAATATGTTGATGGTTTTCTAGGTGTGGGGGGAGTTGTTGCGACAGGCCCCGCAGCAGTATGTGGTGGCGGCCAGCTGTCCTTGGATGGGCGCCTGGCTCTGTTTGATGATGCAAGCACCACACATCCCAATAGAACCCAACATGTTGCTGGAAGTGAAAGCCCGCTTAAAGGTGAGGGTGGAGGTCCCTTTACCTGCGCTATACTGGAATAAAGAATCAATTTGACCTTATACAGCATCACATGCACATCTTCAAATAGTTTTACATACGTGAACTACCGTGTTATGTTTAAAGAAATGTATAGTTTTTTTTTCAGCAGCAATGCATGAAATTGATCAAAAATGGCAATAAAGGCTTTTGCATGTTGAAAAAATTCAAATAAATGCTGTTCTTTTGAAGTTTCTGTTCATTGAAGAATCCTTACAAAAATATTAAACGGCTTTATTAAAATATTAAACAGCTATTCAACATAGGAAATGTTTCATGAGCAGCAAATCAGCATATTAGAATTATTTCTGAATGATCATGTAACTGAAGACTGGAGTAACAATGCTGAAAATTCAGCTTTGCCATCACAGGAATAAATTACATTTGAAAATGTATTAAAATAGAAAACATATATTTAAAATTGTAACAATTTCACAATATTACTGTATTTTTAATCATATAAATGCAGCCTGAAAACATCAATAAGTCTTACCAACCCCAAACTTATACATGTGCTACAAACTTTCTGCCTGTCCAAAAGTAATAAGTACAGATATGACTCCAAGAAAGCAGATTTTACACAAGTTTAGCACTTCCCAGATTGAGAAAGTGCTTTCCGGGTTTTTTTTTCTTCTGTACAGTATGCATCAGACAGTCAACGAACGGACTGTGGGTGGTCCGTGGGCATACTGTCTGAGAATGAGACTAATCCATCCTACAACTTTCACACTTCACACTCATCCAGAAGCAGATCTGCTCTGAACTTCATTCTGTTATTCCGCAGGAGAAGGCTACTGGAAAGACCCGACAGGGATCTGTTCCAGTCAAGGAAACGGTCCAGGAGTACATCGGTGGAGTGGAGACTGTTACCGAAGACCCTGCCACGCGAGACTATGTGGTGACACGTGCACGTCTCATGGCTGCAAAGTGTGTGGAGGGGGAATTCTTTAAACTTTCTTGTTTTTCTGTCATATTTGAGTCTAACTGCTTTTGTGTCCTCCTAGGCTGTTGGGGGCACTGTGCAGTTGTATATGTGACCCAAGGTTGAATAGCTCTTCTCAGGAACTACGACCTGCGGAGTCTTTAGCACAACTTTTACTGTTCCATCTCAATTCCAAATCGGCCTTGCAGCGGATTGCGGTTTCCATGGTGATCTGTGAGTGGGCAGGCCTTCAGAAGGTGAGAATGGGAGAGGGTCAGTGTCGGGTTTATTTTTAAACATGTTAATGACGGTTTGTGCTGTCCTGCGTCATAGGAGTGTGAGCTGCTGTCCAGTGTGGTTCAGCCCCGATTGCTGGTCATTCTCTCAGAGCAACTCTACTACGATGAGATCGCCATTCCTTTTACTCGCATGCAGAATGAATGTAAACAGCTCATAGCGCTGCTGGCTGATGCCCACATTGACGTGAGAGAAAGAATCAACCCCACTGTATTCACCATCGATCAGGCTAACGAGCTGGTTAGTAAAAAACTCCAAGAGATAGAAAAAACTCTGGAGTTCTAGAGCATTCTACTTTAATTTCAAGAATAAGGTAAATTCTTGCCAGTTAATCAATATATATATATATGTATATATATATATAATATGGTATTGTGATGATGATTATAATGATGAGTATTATGATATTAAGTACAGGTGCTTATTCATCCCCTGGCTCTCTAGGTGACCACCATGTTCTCAGAATGCACCTCTTCTCTGAATCTCAAGTCAAGTCAGTTCAAGCTGCTGGACGGCAAGAGGCTGCAGGCTCGTTCCACTGTGTGCGAGACCAGCGCCGAGTGGCAGCAGCTGCAGCTGAGAGTTCATACCTTCACTGCCTGTGCTGTGGTAGGACTGGCCATGCTGCCAGATAAACTCAATCCTGTTGTCAGGCCCCTGATGGAGGCGGCCCGCCGCGAAGAGAACACACTCGTCCAGGGTTACGCGGCCTCCAACATCGCCCGCCTGCTGCAGCTGTGCGCTTCCAGATCTCCCTGTCCGAATGCCAAGATCGTGAAGAATCTCTGCAGCTCTGTGTGTGTAGATCCAAAGCTCACCCCTAGTGCTGCATGTCCTGTCCCTCCAGCCAGCACTCCAGCAATACAAGAGAGCAGTAAGGGTGAGCGGAAGACCATAGCTCCGATTCCCATTCATATTTTCATTGGCCATATTAATGAAACGGGATCAGAATGAATTTGTGCGTAAATTGTTTGTGAAGTGTCTCCATTTATGTGAAGTATTTATAAACAATTTCTACTAATTCTACTTTTAAGGTCCATTCTGGCCCATTTAAAATGATTTTTATAAAATTGCAAAAGCAAAATTGCAAAAAATACTAAAGTTTTTGTAGTTTTTTTTTTTCTAGTAGTAGAATTGGCAGTCCTATTTGTTAAGCATATTGGTGGTGTCTAGAAAGAAATATATTTTGGTGCATCCTATTCAATTTGCATGTTGCGGTTTGATGTGAGACTTGTTGTTTCAGGGGTTTTAGAGGTGTTGTGCATTTAATCTATCCTGCAGCATCTGTGGCAGAGAAGGATGCGATGCATCACATGGTGAACAAGACAAAGGGCATCATCACCCTTTACCGGCATCAGAAAGCAGCTTTTGCCATCACCAGTAAGAGAGGACCCACACCCAAAGCCCCCAAAACCACCAACAATGACCTGCCCCTCGTAGGCAGCATTACCACAGAAACAGATGAGGCATTTACAGCGTTATAATTAGCAGCTTTACAGTGTTCTCTTCAGTGATCTCATATGAGTGATGCGAACAGTCTCTGTGTAATACTACCTAGAGCAAGAAGCCGTGTCTTATCCAGAGGAGAGGGGCAGAGTTCTGCTTGATGACCGTTGCCAGGCATTTTGGTAAGGAGTTGTCAAAAACTTTGCCATATCTGTGGGAGTCCATGACCGGTCCACTGAGGAATGCGCTGAATGCTCAGGGATTTGGTATGTCTGCTTTAAATTCGTAACCTTTTTTTTTTTTTTTAAATGAATTGAGATTTGTAAAAAGCTCTTTATAGTTCAGACAAATGAAAATTTGATGAAAATGTACTTGCCTTCTGGCCATCCAGGATGTAGATGAGATTTTCTTCATTGGAAGAGATTTGGAGAAATGTAGCATCACAGCATTTCTCTCCTGATTCAGACAAGACAGCTTTTTCCACTGGAGAAAGCAATATTATAGATAGAGGACTCTTATTTTAGCCAAAAGCAGCAGTTTGAAGTTTAAAAATGTGTTGACGTATTTGTTCATTACAAACATGCACCTTTTTTGTTTATTGTGATGCTTTTATCATTTTGAACTATCCATTGGTGAGCAAGTGATATAATGCTACATTTCTCCAAATCTGTTTCAATTATTAGACAAACTATATCTTGGATGGCCTAAGGATAAATTTTCATTTTTGGTTGAACTATTCCTTTAGTAAATGCTCTTCCTGCTGCTCATTTGGTCTTTGTTGCAGATTCCAGCCAGTTGTTGAAGCAGGGAGACTCGGTTGCTCAGGAGCTTGTGAACTCTCTGCAGGTGCTGGAGGTCACAACAGGAGCCATGTCCCAAGAGCTCATCCCTTTAGTATGGACACATGCGCACATAAAACTTCAAGGACATCTAGTATCACTCAGTTAACAATGGCAGTTTTAACCAGTCTCCTCTTGTCTCTGTATCTGCAGTTGATGGAGCAGTTGGCTCTCCTGTGCACCTGTCTGCAACATCCATATACAGCCGTACGTCACATGGCCGCGCGCTGTGTGGGCGTGCTCAGCAAGATTGCTACTATGGAGACCATGAATGTGTTTCTGGAACATGTGCTTCCCTGGTTGGGTGCTATTGATGACAACACCAAGCAGGAGGGAGCCATCGAAGCCCTGGCCTGTATCCTCTGCATGTCACAAATCAAAATCAAGCTATTTTCTTGTATTAAAAATGCCTTTGCATTTCACGAAGGTGTTAAATTATAATGCTTCCTAAATTCTTAGAAATAGAGTAAGACGTACTACTAGTTTGGGGTCAGTAAGATGATTATTGTTATTAGTAGTAAGAAATTAACACTTTAATTCAGCAAGAACACATAATGGATGAAAAGTGACATTAAAAGCATGTATAATGTTTGAAAAGATTTCCATTTTAAATAAATATATTTTCAAAAAAAATTTCTTGAGCAGCAAATCAGCATATTAGAATGATTTCTGAAGGATCTGATGTGACACTGAAGACTGGACTAAGAACTGCTGAAAATTCAGCTCTGCCATCAGGAAAAATTACATATTAAAATGTATTAAAATAGAAAACTGTTAAACTGTAATATTTCATAATATTACTGTTTTTGTGGTTTTGTTTTTATCAAATAAATGCAGCCATGGTGAGCTTAAGAGACTTCAAAAACATACAATGTTGCCGACCTCAAAATTTTAAACAGTAGTGTACTAACATTTAGTGTGTGTACAGTGGTGTTCAGAACACAAATTATTATCCCTGAGCACAGTGTCCAGGTGTGATGGAGCAATTGGATGTGGATATCGTGCCCTACATCGTGCTGTTGGTGGTCCCTGTGTTGGGCCGTATGAGTGACCCCGGGGACAGCGTGCGATTCATGGCCACACAGTGCTTTGCAACCCTGATCCGACTGCTTCCTCTTGAGGTGAGCAATCAGTAACCAGCACAGTCCAGCATTCATGCTTTTAATAATTATTACTGATGTAAGACTTTCAGCAGAGAGTCTGAAGTGAGGAATGTCGGCATGTCTGTTCTCTCTACGCTGGAGCTCATCACTTTGTTACTTCTGTGCAGCTTTTTTTTCCTTTTCATCATAGTTTTTTTGTTCCTTTTAGGCTGGAATCCCAGACCCGCCGTCTATGTCTGAAGATCTAATTCGACAGAAGGCCAGAGAACGACACTTCCTTGAGCAGCTGCTTGATGGAAGGAAACTGGAAAATTATAAGATTCCTGTGCCCATCAAAGCAGAGCTCAGGAAATACCAACAGGTGTGTTTGCTTTTTACGCTTCTGCCCATGGAAATTTCTTTATTTTTTGGCAAATCCTGAGATTGAAGTGAGGCTAAGAACTGTAATTAAAAAGAAAGTCTGAGGCTAAGAACTGTAATTACAAAAAAAAAAAAAAAGTCTGACTGCATAAATCGCTGGCGATTTTCAATCGTTGCTTTTATACAAGTTCGTCCTGTTCTCTTTTGTAGGATGGAGTGAACTGGCTGGCATTTTTGAACAAGTACAAGCTTCATGGGATCTTGTGTGATGATATGGGTCTGGGTAAGACCCTGCAGTCCATCTGTATTCTGGCAGGCGATCATTTCCTCAGGTACACCCCAAACCAACTTCATAAAAGTGTTTTGCAGCATTTAAATAAAGTTAAAATACAAGACTTTATTTGACCTGCTGAATAATGTTGCTGCATGTGTACAGGGCTCAGGAGTACGCCAGGACAAAGGCCCCCGACTGTTGCCCTTTGCCCTCCATAGTAGTGTGCCCACCCACCCTGACGGGGCACTGGGTGGATGAGGTTGGGAAGTTCTGCTCTAAAGAGTATCTCAATCCTCTGCACTATACTGGCCCTCCTACGGAAAGAGCATGGTACCATCTTAAGAAATTGCTTGTTAAATGACTATTGACTTGTTGCCCATTTTAAGAAATTGAATAGGAAATCCATGTACAATTTTCTATTTCATTCTATGCAGGTTACAGCACCAGGTGAAGAAACACAATCTCGTTGTTGCCTCGTACGATGTCGTTAGAAATGACATTGACTTTTTCAGGTAACAACTTGTTAATTACATGTTTATCATTCACGGACTTCATATACAGTGGGGGAAGGAATATAATATTTCATTGTTTTGTTTTTTTTCTCTCATACAGGGATATTAAATTTAATTATTGTATCCTTGACGAGGGTCACGTCATTAAGAATGGAAAGACCAAACTTTCTAAAGCGATCAAGCAGTTAACCGCCAACTACAGAATAATCCTCTCAGGAACACCCATTCAGGTGAGAACTGAACTCTTCGATGGCTTGTATACGCTACCGTTTAAAAGCTTGGGGTCAGTAGAAAGAATAATTTTGGCAAAGGAGAATTTCCAGAAGACATTACTCCAGTCTTCAGTGTCACATGATCCTTCAGAAATTGTTCTTTCGATGCTCAAGAAACCGTGATTATCAGTGATAAACACATACGTGTTTTTCAGAATTCATTAATGAATAGAAAGTTCAAAAGAACAGCATATATTTGAAATCTTGTGTAACATTATAAATGCCTTTTTCACTTTGTTTTGGTCAATTCAATATCTTTGCTGAATTTAAGTATTAAAGTGCCCCTATTATGCCATTTTTAAGGTAATAATATTGTTTTGAGAGTCTCCTACAATAGGTTTACATGCATGCAAAGTCAAAAAATGCTTTTGTTTTCTCAAAATATGCAATTAATACCACCTCATTTTCCAATGATTCATTTGAAGCAGTTAATTATCTCTAAACCCCTCCTTTCCGTGAGCCTACTCTGCTCTGATTGGTCAGATGGCCTAGTCTGTTGTGATTGGTCTACAGCATACAGCGCGTGTCAGAAACGATACACCCATTGCCATAGTTCCATATTTTGAACACTCGATAGAAAATATAAACAGCTATTATTTATCATACTGAGAGGTTGTGATTCAGTGGAGCCAGATGGTCCAAATAAACTGGATACTGAGCCATCTTTCAAGAGCAAGCGTTTTGTGAATCCCGTGTTGAACTCGCCGAGATTAGAGAAGCAGTCGTCAGTAAAATGACGGGAACACAAGAAAAGATTGAGGTTGTACTGCTGTGGTACAGTGAAAAAAAATGTAATTTTAACCACTGATTCTTTGCAGCCTCATCTTTTGGAAGTGAAAATAAAACATTTACTTTGACAGTGTAGGACACAGCATCTTCTCGACACAAACAAGCTACAGTGTTTGAGGGCGGGGTCAAGTTGTTTGCGGCCAGCCGACGTAGAACAGAGTCAGGCATTATGCAAATGTGTTTCCCTGTGACGTGTAGCCTGACGACTCGTTTAGGCTGTTCAAATTCTTTCTTTTGGGAGACAGTAACTTTATTCATCGTGCACTTTCGGTTTTACAACTTTGCAAATTGCTTGCATTCACTTACAGCTACATTACACACTGCATGAAAGGCAATATTGGAAATGGCATAATAGGTGCACTTTAAGTTAATAAAAATCTTACTGACCCAAACCTCTGAATGGTAGTGTGCCTTTCAGATTTTGCGGACATATAGATTAATTTTGGATTAAAACACTGTCAAGTTTGAATTTGACAAGCTAATGACTGTACTTGTATTTTTTGTCTTTATAGAACAATGTTCTGGAGTTGTGGTCTCTGTTTGACTTCCTGATGCCAGGCTTTCTTGGTACTGAGCGTCAGTTTGCTGCCCGCTATGGGAAGCCCATCCTCGCCAGTCGAGATGCTAAAAGTTCCTCACGCGAGCAGGAAGCAGGTGTGAATTTTTTTTTTTTCTCCCCCCACTTCTGTGTCTCCTCATTGTAGCATCTCAGACTGAAGCTCTTCTTCAGCTTTTTACACTCTGTACTAAGGGAATCACTAGAGACTGAATCCTATTTCAAGACAATAAAGTTTTTTTTTTTATGTTGTAACTGTTTCAGATGTTTGAGTTATGAAGCAGCTCTTTAAGTCGTTTTAATAATGTTGTCATCTTTGGTCTAAAGTAATGTGTTGGTGTGTGTTTTTCAGGTGTGCTGGCAATGGAAGCGCTGCATAGACAGGTTCTGCCCTTCTTATTGAGGAGAATGAAGGATGATGTGCTTCAAGATCTGCCACCCAAGATCATACAAGATTACTACTGCAACCTGAGTCCTCTACAGGTACAAAACACAACAACAGGATGTTTATAAAAGATGTGGCTGGTGAAATTGACACACAATGAAATCACAGAATCTTGCTGTATTCAGAGGGGATATCTGTACTTCAGCACTACAAACTGTGCATAGTTCACTTTGGCTTTCTTGGCAGCAATCACAAAAAATTAAAAACCCTCGAGTTAATCTGTAATAATTTAAATAATTTAAAAAAAAAAAGTGTAATGAAATATTGGTGACAACTTTGTTCTGCTCAGGTTCAACTGTATGAGGACTTTGCTAAATCTCGCGCAAAGGTGAACGTGGATGACGTTATTTCCACAGCGTCTATGCAAGAGGAGGAAGAGAAACCCAAATTAAAGGCCACCGGACACGTCTTCCAGGTTGATCCCAGGAAGTCTTATAAGAGTGCAAGATTATCCTCCTCTCAGTCGAATAGTCTGTAATGTTCTTGTGTTGGATGTTTCAGGCTCTGCAGTATCTGAGGAAGCTGTGTAATCACCCAGCACTGGTGCTGACCCCTCAACACCCAGAGTACAAACACATCACAGACCAGCTGAGCAGCCAACACTCTAGCCTCAGAGACATTCAGCACGCCCCAAAACTCTCAGCCCTCAAACAGGTGCGTCCACTTATCTGTACTACCAAAGCATGCCCTTGTGTAATATCACCTAATATTAGTGTTCAAGTTATCTATATTAGTTTAAGTAATATAGTAATACGTTATATATATATATAATATTGTTTTGTTTTTTTTATTAATATCAGGCAAACAAATTTAATCCTTTTTTTTTGGTCATTTTCATCCAGTCATCAATAAATGCCTTTTAGTGTAAAATACAAGCAAACAACACCGTATTAGCAGCAGCATATATTTATTTTTGTCCTGGTTTCTGTTGTAGCTGCTGTTGGACTGTGGACTGGGTTCTGCTGGAGCATCTGATGGTGGCACAGAGGCTGTAGTGGCCCAGCACCGCGTTCTGATCTTCTGCCAGCTGAAGAGCATGCTGGACATCGTGGAGCAGGATCTGCTCAAAGCACAGCTGCCCACCATCACCTACCTCAGGCTGGATGGAAGCGTTCAGGCCGGCCTCAGACACTCTATAGTCTCTAGGTGAGAAAGCCACGCAAACTATCTTAGAAATATTATTTAATCTCAAGGGCAGTTCCATTTGGGTCACTGTATGGGATTTTATTTTTTTCCTTCAACAGGTTCAATAATGACCCGTCCATAGATGTTCTGCTGCTCACTACCCATGTGGGTGGGCTGGGTTTGAATCTGACTGGAGCAGATACTGTTGTGTTTGTGGAGCATGACTGGAACCCCATGAGAGACTTACAGGCCATGGATCGAGCTCACAGAATAGGACAGGTACGGAAGAGTTTTTTTTTTTTTTTTTTTTTTTTTTTTTTTGGTGTTTTTTTTTTTTTTTTTTTTTTTTTTTTTTTTTTTTTTCAGTGTAGAAGTGACGGGAAGCGAAGTGGGAGAGAGAGAGAGGGGGTGGGATCGGGAAAGGTCCTCAAGCCAGGATTCGAACTCAGGAGGACGCCCGTAAAGCAATGCTATCGGTGCCGACGTCATAAAATCATTTTGATGAAAAGCTCAGGCATTTCAGAATGACTAAAACAGTATTTTACATGTTGTGCAATAGATTTACACTCCACAGCAAAAAATGATGCAGTGTTTTGTTGTTTTTTTTGCTTTTTATTTTTATTTTTTATTGTGTCCCACATCAGTATTCATTTATTCAACTCATTACTGACATATTTCCACAAAAATCACATCCTGACTAGTCTATTTATACTAAAGTCACATTGCAAAAATAGGGAAAAATCTGATTTTTGGTCAACATTTAAACTGATATGTGAACATTAGCCCATTTGCCTCCATAAAATGAATGCATGTTTGTGTGTTTCAGAAACGTGTGGTGAATGTGTATCGTCTCATCACACGGGGCACGCTGGAGGAGAAGATCATGGGTCTGCAGAAATTTAAGATCACCATTGCAAATACAGTCATCAGCCAAGAGAACGCCAGTCTACAGACCATGGGCACAGAACAGCTGCTCAACCTCTTCACACTGGACAAGGTCAGTCCTTGCAGGCTGTTGCATGCATAGAAAACCCCTTCCAATGAGGCAGTGCTGCCCTAAATGCTGGTTTTGCACAAAAATAATGATAAAGTGAATTATAAAAATAATAAAATGACATGCACATTCATACTAATGCTTTTTGTGTTGATGTTTAGGATAAAGCAGAGAAGAGCGAGGCAGCAGGGTCATCCTCGTCTGGTAAAGCTAGTATGAAGTCTGTTCTGGATGGGTTGGGTGACCTGTGGGACCAACAGCAGTACGAGAACGAATACGACCTGGACGGCTTCATGCACTCACTTAAATGACCCCAGTTCAACACGCACAAAAAAAACCCCACAGAAATGACTTGAAGCCGTCTGATTGGACAACGGAGAGATGTGTGCAAGCACTGTAGCTTATCGGCCTTAAACACTCCAGTCTAACGCTCGTCACAGTCTTACAGCTCTTCCTCTTCCTGTAGGTTCTTACAATTCACTCAAGATTTATGATCTAAAACTGTCCATTATTAATGTGTCGCTGGAGGAACTCTTAAAGCTAATCTTACGAAGTTGAGTGTTGTACAGATGACAACCTCAGGATTTCCAGAACTCCCCATCAGTATCTGTGATGACAGTATTTCAGAACTGAATGAAGAGAGCTGGTGAGACGAGAACTGGAATGCACTGGAACGCTTCCGTGATCGCGTAGAATACGACTCTAATGGTTCATCCAGACCACTAGGAGGCGCTTGACTAACTCCTGTAGGATTATGAAGGGCTTGTAGCTGCTGCTCCATCAGAAACGTCTTACATGCACTGACTGAGATCTTTAGGTACAGCTGGAAGAGCAGCAGGACAATGGCCTCGGAAACATTGTAGAGTTTTAAAAGGAGAAAATAGAACTAAATATTTCTGTTATTTGCCTTTTTGGTAAGCTGGTAGAATTTTAATAAATTCTAATGAGCTCTCTTTAAAATTCCTTGTCTGTGAGCGTTTATGAAAAATGTGTGAATGAGCAGCTAAACCAGACAATTAAGTATTATGCAAAGGGCACATTATACAAAAAAATAAATCAAATAAAATAATCCATATATATATATATATACACATTTTTTTTTTCAGTAAACTCTGTGCTGCATGACACCTAAATTCTTCATTATATGTGGCTTAGCTGCTCATGTGTTTTTATATATATATATATTTATTTTTTTTTATTTTTTTTTTATGGACAGTGGGTGAATTTTTTTTTAAAATTTTTGCCTGTTTTGTAGAATATTGCACCTGCTATTCAAAATGAAGTTCAATTTCACATCTTCTCAAAAACATCTGTGATGATAAAGTGTCAGGGGAAAAAATATTTTAATATTATTTTAGATAAGTTGTCCATTTCCTGCAGCAGGTGGTTGGTTTGTTTACATTCCAGCAGTGAAATTTTACAAGAGAACGAGACTGCAAAAGATGACAATGTTTCACAGTGTCATACAATTACGTTTAATAAGATTTGCTGTTTAGTACAGAAAAGGGAAAAATCATGAAGGTGGGAAAAGCTTGTAAGCATTAGCAGCACTGCGCTTATTTTATCCCAAAAATCCTTTAATCACAGTTTTACTGCAAAGTTAGACAAGCAGAGGTCCAAGTTAACAATCTCAAAGCCTTGCGAAGATGGAACCAGAAGTGAAATATGAAATTAAACGTTTAACTGCGTTGGGGAAAAGTAGGTTTTTAATCATTTTGAAAAACGACAAATGGAGCTAAAAGTGTGGTAGAAGAGAACAACCACAAGCCAAAATGAGCCAACTAGATATTACAGACATGATTTTTTTTTTTTGGTAAAAGTCACTAAACACAGGACATCTTCTAACTGCACAGCTTATCAAATGATTTAAATGGTAGCAATATAAGAAAAACTTAAGACAAAGATGGTTTGAAAGAAAATGAGGTACTTTTAGGAATTTTCATGTTTGTGTTAACAGTGCTTCAGAGGCTGTTACCATGACTACATGAAATCTAAGCCACTACACTGCGCTCCTAAATCAAATGCGTTCTGGAAAACATCATGTCACTCGGTTAAATAAACACAGACTGCATTGTGACCGTGAAAGTGGAGCTGCAGAGCGTCAGCAGTATCAGAACTCATGATTATATCTGTCTTGACTGGGTTTCGTCACAACCGCACATTTGCTCCATTCTGTCCTTGTTTTTATTGCCCATTCATCGTTACATTTTAATCCGCCCAGAAATAGCTAACATTAATGGTTGAGGAATAAGTGTGTAAAGAAAACACAAATAAAAAATAATGGAAAATATGTTTAAATTCTTCTTTTTTTTTTTTTTTTTTGTTGCAAAAAATCTCTAAAAAATAATGAAAAAATTTCTCAGTACAAAGGCTACATTACTACTGGAAGATACTAGCACGTCGAGTAAATACACAGTAGAAAATGATTTTAGTGAATCACAATGCTCGCAATGAAAATAAATCTGCAATAAAGATTTATGCCTTTTTCTGTTCTTTTTCTTTTTTTCTTTTTTACAAACAGTACAAACAGTATTGCACATTACAACAAAGAATCGAGGTTCTCAGCCTTTAAAAAAAGTACTAATTCAAGTTTTGGGTGAGTAGAAGGCCACCACATCACACCACACCGCATCTGGGGCTTTCCATCAAGTTAAAGTTAAAACGTTTAATATTTTTTCAGCTTCCATCTTGCCAAAAATCATAAAGATTTTTGTCATCCGTAAACTGTTGGGCAAGTTACTTCCAAAATGTAATACATTATATATTACTAGTTACTGTCTTTTGAAAGTAATTAGTTACATTACAATATTACTGTCTCTGAATTGTAATGCGTTACACTACTTTTGAGTTACTTTTGAGTTACTTTCACCAAAATATCCACAGAAGTATTATAAAATGCCAAAATGTAGTTTATTGCAGCTCATTCTACACCCAGTGGAGGGTAAAGTGGTAGGTCTATATAGCATAAAATATATTTTGTAATGCGTTACTCCCAACACTGTCCGTAAATGATATAAGGTTAACAAATCGGGGCGTGTGCGCTTTACAAAACAAAGGGGAACACTACATCATTTCACGAAAACATAAAAATATAAACAGAAGATTTCACAACTCTGGTCACCATAGTAAAGGTCTGATTGTAAATATATAAAAACCTAAGTAGCATGTTCAGTTGACTTTATAAGCAGCCAATGGCCTGTTGACCCTATATAATATATATATTTATATAAAATATATATATTTTATAATAGTAGCCTAATAAGATCAGATGTTTGTGGAACACTGATGTCGCAGCGGGGACAGCGGCTGTACTTCAGCTTCCTACAGTAATAAAATAATACAGCTCCAACTCCTCCAGTTGTTTTTGTTTTTAATTTTTTTTCCAAAAATAAAATTAAAAGCAAATAAGCACGACAAAAATAAAATTAAGCATCTGTTAAATCTTTTTTTTTTCTCTCTAGCAGAATTAAATTAATATAGATATATAGTCTTTATTTGAATAAACTTAGAAAATATCAATCTCTCTCATATTTCGAAATTGAGGTATTGCAAAAGATTACGTCAGTCAGAAAGCACAATTATTTTTCTATTAAAAAAGAAAGAAAGAAAAAAAACGCTGACTGTTCAACCATCCAGATACAAAGTGTAGTGCATAAATATGATCTTACTACACAGAAGGAACAAACAGAAAAATCTGGGCAGGGAAAAACATCACAAACACACCCAGAATTCACCATCGTCGGGATCAGGGTTACCCACAATCCTCTTTCTCTCCATCGGTACAAAAGTAGTGTTCGCATTTGTTGTTCTTCCAGACTAATGAACTAAACGTGCCAACCTAAAGTTGACCGTTTTTGACTCTCGGATAAGACGCGTTTCTTCGCGTTCCTCTCCACCATCTCTCAACTTAGTTTCAAAATGTCCCCCGTCGACATTAGCATGTCATGATTCTACTTCAAGCTTTGCTGGATAATCTGGATATAAATGCTGCGGCTGCGCGAGGTAATTCCGCCCGCCGTCTTAAAGTTAGGTTTAGTGATTAAGAGCCAGTGTTCGCTTATTCTCCCAGAGTCACCGGTCGGACACAGTATTGTGACTCGTCGGCGTGCAACGTAGTGTAATTGGTCATTTCGAGTCGGACAGCTCTTTGGTACTGATGCGACGCGAGTCGAAGTGTGCGGGATCCGCGGAGAGAAGGGACCATATGTTTACATACGCTAGTTTCACAGGACGTTCCATGTCAGACATCAGTAACAGTTCAAGCGAATCACAGTTCTAGGCGTCGTCTAACTGAACTACATAGTGTATAAAAATTGCACAATTCTATGAACAATCACTGCTAAAATTACTTCACCTGTTAAAGACATTTCGCTAGGAGATCCTACAATTACAAAATTGTAATTGTGAGCTTGTGAGCTGTGAGTTTCCACCACGGAATACAAAAAAAAAATAAAAAATTAACAATTCTGATTTTTTTTTCCTCGCAGAAGTCAAAATTGCAAGTTTATATCACAATATGGACATTTTTCCAAATTGTGACAGAATTCTAACGCTTTATATCACAATTCTTGATTTTTTTCTCGTATGATATAAGCTCACAATCGCAAAAAAAAAAAAAAAAAACAATAAAAAAAATAAACCGGTAATTGCAGCTTTTTATCTCACAATTCTGACTTTTTCTCTCTCAATTGCGAGTTTATATCTCACAATTCAAACTTTTTACCCCTCACAATTCTGAGTTTATCTTTCACAATTTGGACTTTCCCCCCACTTTTTTTTTTCCTGTGGTGGAAATAAGCATCCATAATGCTCCATATCGCTCGTCCATCGTGGAGGAAATGAAAGTGAGACCCGATTTTACAGCATGCATCGCAGACTCATTAACATGCAGTTTCGGTGCAGACGCAGACCCTTCGGAGCGCTCGTTCTCCTGAATAAAGTATGACCGTATGGACTCATACCACGGATTTAGCAGCAAAAGCTATTGCAGCATTACATGTAGATAATACTAAAAAAACTCGTAAAAAATTAAGCCTAAAAAACTGAAGCGAACAGAAAGACATGCTTGCATGAGGTAGCCTATTACTATTCATTTCAACATGGAGAGCAAATGGGGTTTTACTCTAATAACTCAAGTGTGTGTGTGTGTGTTTTAACAGCTCACTTAAACACGATTTTCTTAATGAATTCTTTTTACCTTTGGTAACTTTTTTTGTCAACATCTAGGGGGGAAATTCCTACCACTCTGTTTTTCACAATAAGTGCATGCTCCTTTAAAAAGTCTGACACCCAAAATGTATTATCTATGTGTATATAGATAAATATAAAATAAAAATATATCCTTTTTGTAAATGTACTGTATATATTATATATGTAGTCTCACACTGCCTAATGTTACCTATATGGAGCACTAAACCAATCAAACGAAGGATAATGATAGAATTAAAGCACAACATCCTGATAAGCGTTAACATCGACTGTTTGTGCCAAAGTGCAACGTTTGAGCACGCAGACTCAAAATTCATATTTTCCTAAGTGTTTGTAAGCAGAGAATATAGTGGACAGAGATATCATGATATTTGTTTTCTAAAAACAAGATGAGAGGGGAGATCTGTGGGTGGAGAGGGTGATGTGCCGCTTCATCAGCTCCAGTGGAAGGACACGTGCCGAGGTCGATCTCCGCCTTCCTTCACCAGCGGTTTGTGGAACTCGCGGCCGGCGCGTGAGTGGATGCTCGCCCAGCAGTACTCGCAGTAATACTGCAGACAGGTGACGTTGGCACAGAAAAAAGGGGCGAACTTTCCTCCGCAGCGAGCGCCCTGACATTCATCGCACATCTGATCGTCCAGCACGTATGGTTTCACCTCCACCTGCAGACACGGGCAGACAGAGCGATTATAGAGAGAGAAACTCAAAGCTACATTCTTGTTTGGTTTATGTGGGGTCAGGTTTAAAAAAAATAATAATTTGCATTAAATTGATCAACAGTGACAGTACAGACATTTATAATGTAACAAAAGATTTCGATTTCAAATATATGCTGTACATTTGAACTTTGTTATCACAAAAATACAAAAGGTTCAAACGCTCACTGATGTTCCGGAAGGAAAAACAAAGCATTAAGCATTATTCACACTGCCCTTTTTTGCAAGTGAACCAGAAATTGTAAACCAAACCACATGTGTGCTAAGGTCATCCATTCATTGGAAAGAAATTCTCAAGCAGGGAAAAACAGGAAGTGCAAAACAGGCTAATCATGGAGATCTTTCGTAGTGCAGTTTTTATTCTTTTTACTGATTTGGTGTTATCAGATACTAACGCAATATGAAGAAACTTATGAGCATCATATGAGACAATGTCATACGACAGGGGTCGGCAAGTAAGTTTATCATCGGGCCAAAAAAAATTTTCGCCACTAGATGGCGGGCCAGAACATAGTCAAAGAATAATTTAAGAAATTAATTGATGAAAAATGCAACTACAATTGCCTGTGACAGACTGTGCTCCGCCTTCGCTCCGCGTCTAAAGCATTTCAATTTGTTTGAAATATCACTGTTCTGTTCATAAGGTATATAAAAAAATTTAATAAATAAAATAACAGGAGAGTTTCAAAGTGGCTTATTGGAACACTAGTGTGCAAACTTTTTCCTACCACATGACAAGCTAATAACATGGTTGTCAGCATTAAAAGGTATAATTGCTGCTTTTTGCAGTGCAAATTTAGTTAGTTATGAAAATAGTATGTTTTCGTCAGTTATTTTACCTACGGATCGATGCATTTCTTACAGATTTCTGCTCATTCGAAATCGGATACAGATGAAGTAGCACTGTAAGATCACATTTGTTTGAATGCATTATTGAGAGAGCGATTGCGTATGAATAAGTGTTGTTTAAATCATGCTTTCAGCTGAAAATATTCAGTATCTAGAAGGAACAAACAAATTCCTTGAGAACTATAACTTCCCGCTCATTGCCATCATCATAGCCTAAATGTTTAACATGTGAATTCTTGCTAAATATGCAGTTATATTACGGGCCGTTGGCATGAATTGTACTCGTGATGGAGCGGTGGTGGAGCGCTCTTTGAGCAAGTGAAAACCACGATGCTCCGACTTTTAAAAAATCCGCTCCTCACTCCAGTCAAAATCACACCGCTCCACTCCGCTCACATACTCTGATTGTGAGTAACTGTTGCTGTCATGACAGATCTATTTCAGAACCAGCCGCTATCAAAATAATCTGGCTGCGGGCGCGGGCCAGATATTATTGCTGGCGGGCCAGTTTTCATATTTATGAGTCCCTCAGTTGTCCTCAGTGTGAAATTTTGACCACAACTATATATATATATATACACACACACACACACACACACACACACAGAGCATCTAGTTTTAGTCCAGTGACCATCAGCTATTTACTTCTAAATAACATTCCCAAAACAGTCCAGTAAGTCCAGTGTGTACATATGCGCACAGGAATAGCATGGAGCTATAATTAACAAACGCCACGTCTGAGACTTCAAATGGCTGTCAGGCCTCCAGAAGCTCATGGTCATGTTGATTACACACAGTCTGCTCTGGGGTTTCCACAGTCTGTATTGTTGGCCGTATGGAAACAGCCTGCAGGAAAACCATGGTACAGAAACTGCCACTATGCAATCACATCTAGAATTACTGTTATAAAAGTACAGTACAAACCTCTTCTGGGACTCGTCTAGTTAATACAGCATTTATAGCATTCTGCTAATTTTTTTAATGGCCCGTGATTAAGTAGACTTACAGTTTGTAAAGACTCTGACACAACTGTTCTTCAGTGCATCTCATGCAAACTGTCTGGTAAACTCTGGCTGCGTTTCGAAAGGTCAAATGGCAAGTTCAAGTAGTTTCAAGTAAAATGTCACATTATAAAGTGTCGCCGATGGTATCGCTGTAGCTTAATGACTCATTTTATAAAGTTCAGTGCATTAGGAGCAGTGTTCTTTTAATATTATTGAGATACTATTATAGTGTTTACTCAATATTTTGAATTTGTTTTCATTGTAATTTTAGTTAAAGTTTTAGTAATTTTATTGTGTTTTTAATTTGTATTATTGTTTTTTTTAAATATCTATATAGTTTTTATTCATTTTTTTTCAGTTTTAGTTATTTTAGTACATGAACCTAAACGAAATGAATATTAGAAATGTTGCTTTGGCAATTAGCTAAAAAAAAATCAGTTAACAATAAAGAACAAATACATTTTTTTTAAACTTTATTTCAAGTAACGCAAATGTTTTATTTTGTATTTTTTAATGGTTTTAGTTTAATAACCCTGAAGGATTATTAAACGAATCCAACCCTGATGGATTCATGAAAAGCGAAAAGACGCTGTCTCTGCATTGTGTGTAATGACAGACATTTGAGAGTTCGTCCTTACATGAGCTCACTCACCCGTTTGTCAATGTCATTATGCTGCAGCTGGACGAATCGGGCACTGATGGCAGCGATGTAGCTCTGCTGATTGGAGAAGGCCACTCGGCCCGCACCTTTAGGGTATTTGAGTTCTGGATCAGTGTCAATGCCGGCGTAACACACACCTCCATACAGTCTGTCCATGATCATAGCCAGCTCCACTAAACACACACAGAGGAGAATCACGGCATTATACAGAATATGATTACATTAATGACATATTTGATATTTGGGAGGACAACAAAAGTCTGAGATACTGTATGAGAGAAATTCACCTGCTCGTAGAGGTCGTGGAACGCCTCCCACAAAAATGGTCTTGCGTGGGTCAAGAGGCTGAGAGCCATCCATCACGAAATCACTGTCACTCAGGTTCCACGGGCGAATCTGGACCTGAGAACGAAAGACTGTTCATCTCTAGAGGAAATTCAATGCAAGACGCTTGTTTTAAGACCTAGTAGGGACAAACTAGTTTTCTATGAGAAGGTCAGGTGAATTTGGGCATCTCAAATCTACCCTGTAAATTGTATTAGCTTATTACACTAATTATTTATTTAAATACATTTTATGTAATTAATATACACAATTAACTAAAAATATATATAAAATGAATATACATAATATAATTTTTTTATTTGACTGTGTGTGTGTATATGTATATATATATATATATATATGTGTGTGTGTGTAACCTGCAGAAGGAAGAGCATGACAGATGAGACAGTCTCTGGCTTCACAGAGTCAGACTGCAGCCAAGACCAGAAGAGCCTTGACTAAGAGTCACAAGAAAGAACAAAAACCGCTGCTGATGGCAGAGACTGAAATGAGTCTGCATGGAGGAATAAAAACAACCAGCCTGAAAGTAACAGTAACCATTCATTCCATCTTTAAAGAGTCTAAGAATGAATAACTGATGATCAGAACAGGAAGATCAAACAATTTGAGACGCAATCTCATACACATATACACACACACCCACAGTATTTATCAATTTACACACACACACACACACACACACATATATATATATACACACATTCAATAATGTAATACTAATCAAGCAGTAATTGACAGTACACCTACAATAGTGTCTTCCATGTTCACTTGTTCACTCATAGGACACCGTTTCATTCCTGTATCTGCTGATGGGACAGATGTGAGCAGAACAGAGCTAGAACTAAATATGGGAGGGGCATGATTGACTGGGGCGGAGCTATGCTAAGGTGAAATCGGGACAGAGTGTTTCTTGTAGCTGAAATGAGTCCTGACTGAACACTGGGGAAACGGAATTGTCTACAACATACCACTGTCATATTTATTTCACATCACAGCTACCACTAACATACATATTATAGTTACAAATATTTTTAAGCCAATTCCTATACAGTCTTTGACATTAACCAACATACACAGTCGATCTCTACTGGTCCTATGCAGTATAATGTTGTATTTGTTATTATATCATGTATTTTTGCACAACCATAACATCCAGGACCAAAACTATCAATTTTATGAATTGACAAAGAATGGTTATTGTCTGTGAATTCATGACGTCCATCATGAATCAAGTCCTTCTGAAGTGTTTTTCCTTTATAACACTGCAGTTTGAGAACATCAGGATCAGAGCCAGCAGAAAGACCAGAGGGAAGAAAAGAACAAGGCTTTCTGCTCCAGGGAAAGAGAGAGCGATAGAGTGTAAGCAACTGAAAGAACAGAGAAATATGAACAGCGTTGGGAAAGTAAATCAAAGACATCAAAAGAAATCAGAGGAGTGTGCGGTGAGAGATTTATGTATAAGCATCAGCATTTGCGAGTGAAAACTACTGCGTGCGACTATGAAAAATGTTTTAGGAGCACCAGTGCGACTAACCCGATCATCGTCATATTTGTGATTGCGCTCAGGGGAGCTTCAAAGGTTTCTACGTGTTTTTGCAGCGTCGAGTAATGTATCACAGATATAGATGTTGATGTAGACAGGGTGTAAATAAGAGATTCATTGCGCAGTGTAGAGAGCTTCGTGCAGTGTAGAGAGCTTCGTTGATTATACATGTGAGATCGAGATGAACTAAGATGAGCGACAGCAAGATACTTTTAATAAAGTTATAAAAATTACAAAGGTAAAAACAAAATTCCACTGTAAATCACTTTGAGTCAAATATCACCTCGTAATGGGAAGGCACAAGTGCTCCTAAAAAGAAAAGTAAGCGTAGAGCCCGGTGTTATTTTTATTAATAAACAACAATAATAATATATTTTCCCATTTAATCCTAAATGAACTACTGTGTTTTACTATAATAAAATATAATAAAATATTTACCATTTTTATGCTTGAAAAATAAAAATTTTAGTAGAGAACAAAGCCTTTTGTTTTGATTGTGTAATTCCTGTACCCACCAGCAGGGGCTAACTGGACCATGTTAACCAGCTAAACCTTGGCTTCACTTCCATCCTGCTTTCCAGCTGGTTTCTGAACAGAAGGAGCTCTTAAATAAATCTCAGCGTTAGTGATAAGCGTATAACAGCACCACAAGAAAGCATTTAACCCTTTTTAATGTGTTTAGAGCCTCTGCGCTGACCTCAGTCCTGCCCACTGTGAGTCATGATGCTTTACACAACACTGGATGGAAAAATGACCAGCATCTTCCATTCACTCAGTCTGGATCAGTGTTTCATATGAGCTGGAGGAACAATGAGAACATCTGCAAACAGCAGTTGCACACAGGACGGCGCAGGCATGAGGACTACAGGAGTCCAAATATATAAAATCCACAAGTACAGATCATTATACAGAGCAGAAATCTCATAAATGAAGAAAAATACAGTGGCCTCAAAAAGTACTTGGACACTTAAACCGTTCTTAATGTGTGAAATCATTGCATTATATAACAAAATAACAAACCAAGTGACATTTATTCATACTAACCCTACCGAACATTTTCATCACAGAGCACAGGACTTTTAACTATAAAATTAATTTGATTAATTAATCAGCATTTCATGTAAATAATTTGAAATTTTTTTTAACTGAATGAAAGATATCTATATGCTATACATATACAGTATGTATATATATATATATATATATATGTATGTGTATAATAGCAAAAAATAAATAAATAAAAAATAAAAAAATATATATATATATATATATACACACACTATTATATAATAGGAAGGATATCGTATCAGTGGTATGAGAACTGTACCTGTGCTCTGTTTACCCTTCCAAACAAACTCTGTCACCTCTATCCAGATACTCACACAAACACAATGCACACGTGTAGTGAAATGCAGTAGGTCTCTCCCTCTGGGTGTGTATCTGTAAGTACTTGTCTGTGTGCATCTGTTCAGTCCACAGTAATGAACACCTGGAGGCACTTTGACGCAATAGAGACCAATCTGACGCACAACACAACAGTTTCCTGACGTGCTGAGACCAAACACTGACCAGCATCCACACAATAGACTCCCCCATGTTCCAGTGACCCTTATAGACAACGAAGATTTCAGCCCGAGCAAAAGCACCATCATTTCTGCGAGCACAAACATAAAGAAGGCGACAGGTTACCTCTTCTGCGACCATAGCTCCTGGCTGTTCGAGAGCAGAGAGACGGGTGAAGAGAGAGAAAGAGGGACATGACAGAGGGGACAGACAGAAAGAAGGGGGAGAGAGACAGACAGGGTTTTTCAAGCTTGTTTTCACTTGTCGTTGCATATGAAACACTTCGTAAGGCAATATTAGTATGCATTGCCGCAAGAGATCATGGTCATGGTTCAAGTTACAATTAGTTAAACTGTTGACGTGTTTATTGCTAGCTAATGGAAAAACAAATCCACACAATCCAACAAATCTAAATGGCACAAAGATTTGAAGGAAATTTTATTGCAAAAAATATTTTTTTTGTTCAAAATAGTTAATTTTAAATGTTATAAAATTATCAAATTAAAAATACATTCGATTTTTATTTTTATATATGTTAAAGGTGCAATAGGTGATTGTCTTCAGAAACATTTTTTGTTATGCTGGTTGAAAGTCTCTTCACATCCCGATAGCAATCTTCAACATCTGCAGCTGTATTAAAGTGCAGCAGGAGAGATGATGTCAGTGTCATTACCTTTAGGGGGAAAATAGGATTTGCTTTCTGCTTTATGAGGCCAGTCCACCACCAGGTGACCATAGCGACGGAAACTGTTGGTGATCTCATCTGTAGGACAAATGGAAAGTATTTAGGCCAAAATATGGATTTACAATGAACATTGTAACAAAAAAAAGCACGCAGTCACTGCCTCCCTTCTAAATAACAATGCTGTAGACTCTAATTCTTTAAAATGCAGTTCATTTCTATGAATATCAAAAATCTTTAGTCATTCACCTGGTGATTTTCTGTGGCCAAAAGTGCATAACCCACAGTCTATATAATATTCTGGTCTGAAGATATACTTTGGGTCAGTGCTAAATCTATGGAATTATTTAATGCTTCACTTATTCACTTTTGTCTACGCTGATTATTTTGGAAAACCCAAAAAAAAAAAAAAATCTATGGAATTATTATTATTTTATTTTATTTGCCTTTATTGGCAACCAGGTGAAAAAAAAAAATTTATATACTATTATATTTTAATATTTTGAATTAGCTTTTATTTTTATACTTTTTGTTTCAATTTTAGTTAATTGTTTGTGCTTTGGTCATTTATGTTTTTAGTTAGTTTCTTCAATATATAATATTTTTGTCATTTTATTGCTTCAATTTAAACCTAAACAAAAATTTGAAATGTTGCCTTGGAAACTACCTAAACAAAGTTCATCTAGTATTTATATATTAATTTATTTCAGCTTTATTTCAATGAACATAAATGTTTTAAATAATTTTGGATTTAGTTTTAGTTAAACGGATAGTTACCTAAAAATGAAAATGGTGTCATCATTTACTCACCCTCAAGAAGATATTTTGAAGAATGTTGGTAACCAAACAGTTGCTGGTAGCCACTGACTTCTATAGAATTCAATAGTATTTTTTCCCCCTCCATATTATTGAAGTCAATGGCTACCGGCAACTGTTTGTTTCCCAACATTCTTCAAAATATCTTGAAAGATCAGAAGAAAGAAACTGAGGGTGAGTAAATGATGACAGAATTCTCATTTTTGGGTGAACTCTCTCTTTAACAATAATAAACCTGAAACAGATACATAGCAGCTCTAAAATCGTTGTGTATGTAATTTTCGATTCATGATACTGTACCTTTAACACATATGATATTTATTAAATCTTAATATTAATTAACATACTGTACCCTCCAAACTCAAGCTCAGCACTGAGGCTTGTGTATATGTACCTTCATCGATGTCGGGTGGCAGTCCACCGACAAACACCTTTCTGGAGTAGCGCTCCATCCTCTCTCCGTTCTGACAGCGGCTGGGGGAGCTCAGGCCAGGGGTCAGAGACTGATCTCCATGACCGTCGTCCAGGAAGCCGTCCTCGAAAGGAAACAGTGAAGAGCGACCTGCAACAGGAAGTAGAGACAACAAACAAAAGAAAAAGGAGGAAACACACAAGAAAAGGAGTTAGAGGACAAAAAATGACAAAGAAAACCAAAGAAAAAAAACCACTTAATTTCTACACCAATTAATATTATTATAATATAATATACTACCTTTCAAAAGTTTGGGGTGACTGTTTTTTTTTTTTTTTAGAATTCAATAGTATTTTTTCCCCCTCCATATTATTGAAGTCAATGGCTACCGGCAACTGTTTGTTTCCCAACATTCTTCAAAATATCTTGAAAGATCAGAAGAAAGAAACTGAGGGTGAGTAAATGATGACAGAATTCTCATTTTTGGGTGAACTCTCTCTTTAACAATAATAAACCTGAAACAGATACATAGCAGCTCTAAAATCGTTGTGTATGTAATTTTCGATTCATGATACTGTACCATTAACACATATGATATTTATTAAATCTTAATATTAATTAACATACTGTACCCTCCAAACTCAAGCTCAGCACTGAGGCTTGTGTATATGTACCTTCATCGATGTCGGGTGGCAGTCCACCGACAAACACCTTTCTGGAGTAGCGCTCCATCCTCTCTCCGTTCTGACAGCGGCTGGGGGAGCTCAGGCCAGGGGTCAGAGACTGATCTCCATGACCGTCGTCCAGGAAGCCGTCCTCGAAAGGAAACAGTGAAGAGCGACCTGCAACAGGAAGTAGAGACAACAAACAAAAGAAAAAGGAGGAAACACACAAGAAAAGGAGTTAGAGGACAAAAAATGACAAAGAAAACCAAAGAAAAAAAAAACACTTAATTTCTACACCAATTAATATTATTATAATATAATATACTACCTTTCAAAAGTTTGGGGTGACTGTTTTTTTTTTTTTTTGAGAAATAAATATTTTTATTCAGCAATGAGACATTAAAGGGTTAGTTCACCCAAAAATTAAAATCCTGTCATTACCGTATTGGCCCGAATATAAGACGACCCCCCCTTTTTCCAGATGTACCTTTTGGAAAAAGGCTTTTTAAAAACCAAATCTTGTTTTTTTCTCAGTAAAACACATTTTGTCTTCAATTATTTTCATATTGCATATTTTTCCTATTTTAATTTTTGTTTTGAAAGTATGGTAAAAACTGGTAAAATGGACCAACAATCACATTTAAAAAATATACACTTTTTGATATACCAAATTTGTGCGCTATTTAAACCCGGATGATTGTAACGTCTGACAAACTCGGAGCTGATCGAGAATCAAAACTCTGTTCTCTAAACATGGTGTGAAATGAACACCAGCCAGTTTTGCTTTATAGATGGATTAACGTGTGTGTGGACCCAGACCATCAGGAGATTATAATGAGAAAATCTACTTGCGCTGATCGGTTCTAGTATAAAGATGTGAGGGTGGTGTTCACAACTAAAAAATACAAAAATGAGGCATTTCTTAAGTGCTTGACTATGTATTCTTGCACTAGATAGGAGAAGTCTAAAGCCATTACGGCATGTCTCACTGTTATTCAGCATCTCACAACAGGACTGACATGTTTTTAAGACACCGTATTGAGTTAAAAATAGTAACTTTTGACATGCAGGACAGCATATCAATGTCAGTTTGAAAACATGGACCAATCAGCTAAATCTGCGGCAGGATAAACATATTTACATACAGTATAGACAAGAATGAAGTCATGTGTTTGAGTCATTTTTTGCAATCAGTTAACTAGGACACTAATCAAAGTGATTCACTTACAAATTCACTTTTAAAGCCAATGTAAATGCAAAAATGGGTTCATTTTCGGTCCACTAAAAGTTGTTGCAAATATATAAACTATGGTTTTCATCATAACATTTTTGTTAACTGTAATAAAGCTGAAAACACTTAATAAACATTAAACATGAATAAACTTAACTTATTTTAGCTAGTTGCCAAGGTAACATTTCTAATGTTCGATTAGTTGAAGTACTAAAATTACTACATGTAAAAAAATAAAAAATAAAAATGGAAACCGAACTAAAACTGGAATAAAAATAAATTAAACCTAAATAGTACTACAAAAGCAAAATTACTAAAATTGTAACTAAAACTACATTTTAAATATGAATATTTACATTTAGATATTTTATTTGTTGACCTGCATGTCATGTGACCATTAACCAACGTCAAGAGAACCATGAACATGCAAATGTGATACTTAAAATTAATTATTATTAATTATCAGGGGGACTTCAAGTAAATATTAGGTGAAAGAGGTTCAGATGACCAAAAAAAGTTTAGGAATGCCTGCATTACATGTAAATAAGAAATAACGTAAATTTGTGCATTTTAATGTGTTTGAAAGACAAAAGCCTTGCAAAGACATAGAAATACATGGTTAAATAACCTACTAAGTGATAATTCAAATAAAAATTAATGTGTTCATCAGTAGTTGATGGAATGTTGAAACCTTCTTAAACCTGAAATGATTTTTGTCGAATGCTGTGTAGCCACCTGACTAATGACTGGTCTTTGTGTGAAAATCCACAAAACTGGAAGACTTTCTGAATGTATATAAGCGGTAGGCTATTTAAAAGATGAAAAAGAGGAATTAGGGAGAATCAATAAATGATGAATAATTTATTGCTATTGTGTGAATAATATGCAATCATGTAATCAATAAAAAAGTAAGTTACGAGTATTTTAAAATGTAATATAATCTAATTACAAGTACTTAATTTTTGGAATCTGATTACATAATCCAGATTACATGTAATCGGTTACTACCCAGCTCTGCCATACAGCAGATACGCAGATACCTACTACAACCATCAAGCTAATGAGCACGATTAGCTCAAGTCATCACTGTGACCCTGGTAAAAACGCTCCTGGAGTTTCCTCCCTTTCATGTTTGTTCCTTTGGCCATACGCCAATCGCTGAGGTGTGTGTATAAGCTTTCAGTGCAGCTAATCATAGCAGGGGAGACGCTCATGTGTGCGGTTTGGTGGCACCATAGAAGGAAACAGAGGGTCAGCACATTGCACTGGGGCCTACAAGACACTAATAAAAGACTGAAATGGGTTTTGCATTGGCTGATATGGGAAATTAAAAGGGAAATATAATGTCTATATTAACAATACAACACAATTTAATTATAGCAGAAGAGATGTAAACAAAACTGCAAAATTAAATGAAACATTAGATTCTGAAACAGACACAAGGGGGAGACACAAAGTGGTACTGTGCAAGTATACACTAACACTACCATTCAAAAGTTTGGGATCAGTAAAACATTTTTTTTTTTTAACAGCAAGTATGCATTAAATAGTATAATGTTTCAAAAGTTTCTTCAAAAATATTAAGCAGCACAAACGTTTTCACAGTTGTTAATAATAAGAAATGTTTCTTGAGCAGCAAATCAGCATATTAGAATGATTTCTGAAGGATCATGTGACACTGAAGACTGGAGTAATGATTCTGAAAATTCAGCTTTGCATCACAGGAATAAACTACATTTTAAAATATATTCAAATAGAAAACTTAATAATATTGTAATACTATTTCTGTAAGAATATTACACAATTCTGCTGTTTTACTGTATTTATGAGTCTTAATGAGCATAAGAGACTTGGTTCTAAATAATATTTAAAAAAACAAAAAAATCGTACAGAACCCAAACTTTTAAACGGTAGTGTATATAAAGTAGTTTGGCTCAGCAGATTGAAATAAGAGGGAATATAGAACAAGATATATTTGCCGTCTTAGAAATCCTACACTTTGTTCATCTGAAAAAAAAAGCAACGTGTTCATCAGCATTAAAAAGATACTGTAAGAGAGAGATACTCACAGTTCAGTGGTAATATGTGTTCAGCTACTGGATGGTGAAAGTTGAGACCCATGCGACCTATAAAGAGATGAGAAAAACAAACCATGAGATTTATGACACTTATAATATTAGACACTTATTATTAGAGTTTAATTCATCAAACAGACATAAACATCAGATGTAAGGCCTGAAACACTATTTTTTAACCCATAACAATAACCAACTTTTTTAAACAATATTCTTAACCAGTTCTCCTGGAAGACTTCTTTAATTTTAAATGCCCATTTCTGCTTGTTTTTTTTTTACTTTTAGGAGTACAGATGAATTTTAAGATACCAATTTCTTTAAAGCTCACAGACTTGGACTAAAAGCAAGAAAACTGTTATAGATGAGAATGCAAAGCGTATTGCATTGTATAACAAACAGTGTTCTAACACTAGCATTCTCTGTTCTATTTCTATTCACTTGTTTTTCTTTTTATTTATTATAAAAAAAAAAATAAATAAATAAATAAAAAACCTTGCTACGGGTACTGTGTTAGACTAACCGGGACTTGTCACAGCACGTACATATTGTTGCTCTTTTTCTGATTTGATTGCGTCTATTGTCATCATTTGTAAGTCGCTTTGGATAAAAGCGTCTGCTAAATGAATAAATGGAAATGGAAAATGCTAACATAGAGTGTGCTTAAAGTTCAATTATAACCCAAGCTAGCTAATAAAACACTTGCATTTGTATATTTTAGATTAAAAACATCTATTTATTAGTGCTGTCAAACGATTAATCACGATTAATCACATCCCAAATAAAAGTTTTTACATAATATATGTGTGCGTACTGTGTATATTTATTATGCATATATAAATACACACATATGCATGTATATATTTAAGAAAAATGTTTTGTTTATATATTAGGGATGTAACGATTCACTCAACTCACGATTCGATTCGATTCACGATTTTGATTTCACGATTCGATTCACTATTTTTTTTTTTACAAAATGAGATTTAAGACAAATTATAAATTAAATGTGTCCTTTTATTATTGCTTGGACAAAATTCTGCACGTTTCTTTGTGAAATTGAATAATATACTAATATAGCACTTGCATATTATTGCCTCTTTTGTTGGTTTTGATTGCTTCTATTGTCCTCATTTGTAAGTCGCTTTGGACAAAAGCGTCTGCTAAATGACAAAATTT